AGCTGGTTAATAAATACACACAAAAAAAGTCTGTGACAGTAAGGAAGAATAACTGAAATGAAACAGATTCCTTTAATCTACAATCTCAGCCTGGATTGTCTTGGTATGTTTTTTTTCTGAACTGGACTGTCAGCAATCCAATGCAAATCACTCGTCTCAAATGATCACAGCATCCCAGAATGGTTTGAGTTGGAGAGCACCTTAAAGATCATCTCATTCCAACCTCTGCTATGGGCTGGAACACCTTCCACTAGACCAGGTTGCTCAAATCTCCCTCCACTCACCCTGGTCTTAGGCACTTCCAGGGATGGGGCACCACAGCTTTTCTGGATAACCTATGTCAGGGCCTCACCACCCCCACAGGGAAGATTTTTTCCAAATATCTAATCTACACCTACTCTCTTTTAGTATGAAGTCATTCTCCCTTGTTCCTGTCACTCCATGCTCTTGTTAGAAGTCCCTCTCCCATCTTTTTTGTTGGCTCCTTTCAGAATCAGTCAATGTGTCTCTGTGTAAGGTAAATTTACATTTGATTTAGCAAAGCCTCATCCGGGTTATAAGTCCCAGGAAGAGCAAGAAACAGGGCACCGGGACACCCAGCAGCAATACAAATCAAAGAGACATAAAAACCCACTTCAAGTTTGATCTGCAAAGCTTTGCAAATGCTGGAAAATGCTTTAACATATTTTTCTATGTGCAGGCAGAGGGATGACGTTGGTACTTAGAATCCACTCTACTCTCATTCCTGCTCCATAGCCTGGCACCTTCTACATCATAACTCCCCCATCCTGGATCCATGCAGGTTTTTTCAGGGTGTGAGTCCTTCCTCACCCGTGGCTCTGGCTGTTGGACCAGGGCCCTTGCATGCAGAAATCCCTTTTGCCATGAACACATTTTAAATACAAGCTTCCGAATCTCATTACGTGCTGCCTTTTCCATTCGTTTTCCTCCTAACAATGCACCTGCCAATATCTGCCCCTGAGCTCCATTTTAAGCAGCATTTTCCATAGTTAATGTCACACTCTTGCTCCCAATCTATCTTTGGCAACTGCTGACTGCCTGCAGCAGGACCAGAGGAAGAAGGAAAGCCCTCCCTGGGTATAACAATAACACAACACCCATTCCTGGAAGAATGATGAGATAGGCTGGGTAATAAATATTTATAAGAGCAAGCGTAATGAAATGGATGTGTAGGATGCTGAGTCTCCCTTAGGGTTTGGTCATCACATGTTTTTTTCCTCTTTTCTTTCTTCCCTGTGATACAGAATTGTCCTGATGTCCCTGGGTTGTTGAGCAAATTGCTCATTGTGTTGCTCACTTACACCATGCATGTTATTATGTGCAACCAGCTGCTCCTGTTTGGCATTGCTCACGCATACGGAACAGGAGGCTACCGTCACTTTCCTCGTCTGGAAGTCAACGTTCCCTCCGGTGCCGAAGTTGCTGCCAGACCAGAAGAAGTCTGGGAACAAAGTGAGTCCTAGTGGTAAAGGTCCCTGAGAGACTTCTTTTCTGGGAAGACCAAGGGTGAAGTCTTGCAGTGAGTTTGAGCTGATCCAGCTTTGTACTGCTGTTGAAAACTTCCTCATGTCTCTGTCTGTCTATTCCCATTGCTTTTCTTGTGCTGGCACAAACTCCTGAGTGATTGCACAGGGAGCTGGAGCAGGGCCCCGATTTTGTTGTTAATGTTGTCGCCAATTAAGTTTTCAGCACCATCCTTTCCTCTGTCCAGCTCCAGGCTCATTCAAGCACTAATGCCGTCACAAAGGAAAGAGCAGCCAACTCTTCTGGTAATTAGAGCTGCTTAAATCCGTCATAAATGTCAACCTCAGCACTGCAGACACGTCTGGAGTCAGGGATGGTCAGAAAACGGAGCAAGGCTATATTTGAGACTGGGAAGTTTAATCCTGCTTGGGAGAGAAAGGACCTAAGCTGTGAATCTTTTTGCTCCTCACTGCTTTCTCTCTGAAATACCTTCTCCTTGTTGTTCAGGTTTCTTTTATTTTAGGGTGTCTTTTTTTGGAGCAGGTATTATTCTTTACCCGCATTTGTTTAGTAACTCATATAACTACATCCTGGTAGTCTGAATCCCACAGCTTGAAGTGGACATGGACTTCTTCATGTGGGTTTGGATTGAGAGGCTGGAGAAGTTCTGATTCAGAACCCTCTGTAATGTGTTGCTCTGCTCCAAGGTCTCTTGCACTACTACAGCCTTACAAGAAGCATGGATCCCCCTTGGCTACCAGCCACCTGCATGGGAAAAACCCTAAAAAATGAGGCTTTTTGACCCTTAAAATGGGATTTTACACCGTAAAAATGTGTCTTTGGATGTTCAAAATTCCTGCTGAGCTAGATAAATTTATAGCAGATTTTTGCTGGATTTCCCTAGTGGGCTGTAATTCCTGGGATCTTATACAAATCAAGATATCTGTACGATACACTGCCCATACACCTGACTCACCAAAATTTTTATGTAGCACAGAAATAATGTCTCTCAAAGGGGGAACAAAAAGCTGAACTACAAACACTTGCCACTTACTGCTGCTGCTCCACCTGTCACACTTTCTTCTCTCAAAGTATGGAAGGTTTGCAGCTATTGAAAGGCAGCAATGCCTCGTCTACAGGAACAGGAACGCTGGGGAGTCTGTAGCACATAAATGGGGGTTTGCTACCTTGAGTATTGGGGCAGAAGTGCTTTTGTCTGGGAAGGAACATCTCTTCTGTTGGCATGGCTGCTGCCACAGACTGACAGCCAGGGAGTTATCTGATCCTTCCCAAATCTACTAAGTGGCTCTTTAGCCAGGCTCTCCCTCTGTAAGTGCCACAGGGAATCATTTCACCTCTGTGAGCAGATGTTGGGACTTGGTGTTGCTCCTGCAGAGCACAGGTATTGTCAGTGTGAAGGAGTTGGTGCTCCGGGTGATGTTTCTGCTGCTCCCTCAGTTCAGGGGCTGTTTGCCAAGTCGCTGCTTTTTTCTTTTCCCCAGGGACAGATATTCAAGGAATATATGTTGCAAGCTTGGGTTTGTCGAAATACTGCTTTCATTCCTGTTTCCACAGACATGTGGGAAGACAAAGAGGTGCCAGAGAGGAAGCAAGTAACACTAAGATCAGGTAGAGAGCTAAGATGGGTTAAACCTGGGTTTTTCAAACCTGGTCTAATCCTGGCCTGTTGACATGGAGGCTTGGTCAATGCCTTAACCTAGGCAGATGCTTTTAATGTTTTGTAGACAACTAGCAATTTTCCTTGTTTATATTAATGTCAGACTTGCCTCACTGCAAGGTAAAGTTTTTTCTTACATAAAAGGAAGGAGAAATGTCTGGGATTTTAAGAAAAATTGTCAGGGGTGTGTCTGAAAGAAACCACTGGCAGACACAAGTAGATATTTCTTTACAGCCTAGTTAAAGCAAATTGACAGCACCCTTAAAACCACCTCACACATAAAGGAGCAGGTGGGAAGGACTCAGAGAAGGGTTTGTGGATGTTAATCTTTACCTCCATGCTGGACTGGTGCAGAAAAGGATGTGGATATTACTACCCACTTTTCTTTCCACAGGGAGGTGAGAGGGTGCAGGAATGGGGCCAGTGGAATGCTGTGGCCTTATTATGCAGTCCTTCCCAGCAAAGTGCACAGCGGAGTGCCCACCTGATGTTGGGCAAAGCCTCTCTATACATCCCTACAGAGTAGGGGGCTGCTGCCTCTCAGGGCTTGTCTGTATTGGCAGTGCCAAATATGAACTTAGAATTGCATAACTCACACTCCTGGGAAACCTGCTTCCCACCACACAGCCTTTCTGGTTTCATTTAAGTTTTCATAGTTCATTATACAAGCTAATAAATAGGAGGGTCTGGATTTAAAAGGTTTCTTTTTTCATTCTGCATAGCTGAAGCCCCCTCTGCATTCCTCACTGCTGTGATAAAACACGCCTGTGTGCTGGGCAGCTTGGTACCCTTTTGAAGGACAAAGCAGACCCACTCTGTGACTGCCCTTGTGTTTGGTGCCAGGTACCACTGCCCAAAGGACTTGGTGTCATTTGCTCTCGGGATTAAACCTGCACCTGTGGCTTTATGCACACACATGTGGTGCGAGTTTGTGTCTGGGACCCAGCCAAGCCAAACGGGGAGGCAGCAGCTTTGGACTCCATCTCTCATCTCCTTGCCTCATTTCCACTGCTTGGCTCAGCTGGTGGACAGGTCTTGCCTCTCTCCTCAGCGATGGGGTGCAGACATGCCACACCATGTATTTTATTTGCTTTATTTTTACAGTCAGCTGAGAAGCACAGGCAAGGCTTTGACAACCAAAGAACGATATACACATGAAGGAGTGTGCCTCGAAACTGAGCCCCAGCAAAGCCATGGCGATGCGGTCACTGGTGTCCGTTTGCTTCCGCTGCCAGCCGGGCTCGGCGCGCTGAGCCCGGGCAGCGCCGCGAGGGGAGCGCGGCGGCGGGAGCAACCGGGGCAAACCGGGCAGAAAAACCCCTAAAGACGTGTGAGGTGGACTTTTAATTGAAAAAGCCACATAAAATATTACAAATGCTTGTGGCTTGTTGAGCTGCTGGCGGGCGGAAGAGTCCCGCACCTGCCGTCCAGCCCCTCAGGGAGCGGGGCCACTCCCGGGGCCGGCTGAGGCATCGTGAGGGGAGCGCGGCTGCTGAAGGCGGCCCGGTACCCTCCACGCTCACCCGTGGCAAAACCGAGAAAAATACTAAAGAGATCGAAGAAACAAATTATTAAAAAAAACAAAAACCCACATAAAATATTATAAATGTTTGTGGCTTGTGGAGCCACCGGCGGGCGGAGGAGCTCCGCACCTGCCGTCCCCCACCCTGAGGGAACGCGGCCGCTCCGCCCGCCGCGGGCTGGCAGCAACCTGTTGGTGCGGGCGCTGCCGGGCGGCGGGAGGAGCCCCTCGGAGGGGCGGCCGGGCCGCTGACAAAGGCGGAGCAGCGGCAGCCCAGGGCCGCCCCCGGCAGCGGGGCCCGGCGGGCAGCGCGGGGCTGGGGCCGGGGCGCTCGCACAAGATGGCGGTGGGGCGGCGGGAGAGCGCGCTCCCCTCGTAGATGCGGCCGCGGCGGCCCCTGCTCCCGGCGCCCGGCGGGGCTTACATGGCGCTGGAGGACCTGCTGCTTTGTCTCTGCTTCTCCGCCCTCGCCGTCCTGGCCGTGCAAGGTGGGTGAGGAGGGAGAGGAGGGAGGGAAGGGGTCGGTGCCCTCCAGCCCGCGGGCGGCAGCGATGCCACCTGCCCTCACATGGGTAGCGGGCGGCTCCGCGGGGATGAGCTCCATGGCCGGTCACCCGCTGTACCAGCCCTCTTTCCCCTTTAGTGGCCATTTACCCCAGTCGTCCTTTCTCCCCGTAGCGGCCGTCCCGTCCCTCCGTGGCCATCCCCCCCCTCTCCCCGTACCTTTCTTTCCTCCAAGTCGGACGATAGCTGTGCTCGTGGCCCATGCCTAGATGGTGCTTCTTTTGGAGTCATCATGTGGGGGGTGACATTGGGGGTGACACCCTCACACTTTGAGGGTGGCAATTCCCCACCCGTCAGTGTATGGGCTGAGGGGGACAGCAGACCAGCAGCAGCAGCATTCCACAGCCTCTGCCTGGACAGTGGCAAGTTTCCACCAGAGGGACAGTGACTGTGCCAGGGTGGTGGGGAGTGAAGAGCTTGGCCAGCACAGCGTGGCCCAGAGCAGGCCCAGGTGTCCAGGGGCTGTGGAGGGGCCCCTCGCCTCCCCTGCCCTTCTCCCACCGGTGTGGGACACATGGGTAGGCTCATACCCCGTTGGTCAAGGAAGTGACCCAGGAATAGCCATGCTCCTCACGCTTGTGTTTTGCAACGGTTACGCAAACAGCGCCGTGCGAGGACACACGTACGCGGCCACCAGGCGTGTTGGTGGCACTCTGTGGTTGCCACTGAAGTTGGCATTGAGGGTCGGCTGAACTGTCAGATCTTGGGGTGTGGGATTCTTTCTCTGTGTATGCATAGCCCACAAAAGGTTTTGTTCTCATCCCCGAGAAGGGTTTGGAAAGGTACAGGTTGGCAGAACCGCACCAAAAGATGTGAGCGTGTGCCAGGGACTTGCTCTCATTTAAAATCCCCCATAAACAGGGTGTTGTGGTGGAGGAGCCATCCCCATGTCATTGTACATTTTTATTCCTTTTATGATGCATTCAGGTTCAGCAGAGCATAATAACAGCACGTGGATGGCTGCAGGGTTGTTTTTCTTTTCTTTTTCCTCAGGACACTGTGAGCTACGTTAGGGCTAGGTTATGATTCAACATAGGTGCAGCTTTATGGTAGCTGTTGTGGAGGTGAATAACGGTCCATGTAAATGGCCCATTGTCACCAGAGAGGGTTGGTTTTCCTAGATGGGTGGCAGGCTGTGACCCCACCAGCAGTCGAGCCAGTAGGCTGGACTAAGTGTGAGCTGTGTCTCCGGTGTGTTTGAGCAAACAGCTACGTGGATCCCAATGTAATGGAGAACAATGATAAAAAAAAAAAAAAAAAAAAAAAAAAAAAAAAAACCCCAAAAAAAACCCAAAACATGGGGGTGGTGTAGTAGATGTTGTTTTTCCAAAACCCACTTCAACAAGAAAACTTTAGATGCTTTGCAAGAATTTGCAGTTGTGGCTTCTTGGTGTTTCTTGCAACTCGTGAAAATTGTTGCTGTGTGTTTTCTAGTGACGGGACATGTCTTTGTATAGGGAGGCAGTGAGTGTGTCTGCACAGTCCTCAGACGTGCCGCTGGGTACGTGTGGATGTGCTTTCCAACAGGTGGGTTTGATTCTGAGAAGAAAAACATGGACTTGTTTCAGTCTGAAGTTAATTTGGCAAAGAGTTGAAATGGTTTTGGGAAAGTGTGTTTGATCCCAAAGCCGCATGTGTTTTGATACAAAGTTCAAGCTTCGCTGGGTATGAAGTTTGTAGGACAGAAGTAGAATGGAAAACCTTCCCCCCTCTGGACTTGATGGAAGCAGTGCCAGTGTACACTTGCTGGGGATGTGATCCAGTGTTTTTGAAAGCTTTCTGCTGTCTGACTTTGAGCCTGTTTTCCCTTCAGTAGCAGGAAAGGGGTTTAAGGAAAAAAAAACCAAGCACTAAACAACCCCTTTTCAGTTGACTCCAACAAGGGGGCTGTGCTCGTTCCTTTCCTTGGGCTCTCTACAGGACACGTGTTGGTGGGAAGTGAGCTGAGCTTTCCATCCGAGGGATAAGCTGAAATCCATCTGGTTTTGTGTAATTCGGTTTTGTGGTTGAGTTCTCCTGCTATTTCCTTTTTCGACACCACCTCGCTTGAGTTGTGATTTGTTTTATCCTTCCTGTCGCGTTCGCCTTGGCGGCGTGACCCCGCAGCCGCTGCCTGCCGCGAAAGCCTGTGCCGGGGAAGTCGGCGTTCCCATTGTTCGGAATCGCGTGTGCCTGCTGCGCTTCGCTGGATGTCACCTGCCTGCGGGTCCGCCGGCCCTGTGACCGTGGCGTTGCGGTGTCACCGGGATGGGGTGTCTCCTACAGCCCCAAGAAACGGGGGACGCTGACCGTGCCAAGCACGGTGCACGCAGCGCTGGCGAGGCTTCACCTGTATTCCGTTTCCAGGGGCAGCGTTCTCGTGCCGGAGCTTGGAGCTCTTGTGATAGCCAGTCTCCAAGCCAGGCAGGAGCTGTTCCAGCATGGGGAATGCTTTTGGTGGCATTTCTCTGTTTCTCTTCTAGTCTGTGAAGCTGAAGGCGAAATTGCTCGGGCTTAGTTCTGGTTTTATCTCTTCTGTTTTCCCTAGGTTTTTCCTTTTTTATTTTGTTGGCTTTTCTGCCTTCACTGCCTTGAAGTCCAAAGTGAAGCAGAATGGGCTAATTTTCGGGCATATCCCCCTCTTTTGCAGCAGACTTTCTCCTGGCAGCTGCAGCAGATTTGATCTGCTGTGGGGGCCCTGTGGGGGTGGGTGACTTCTGGTCATACATGAGGCGCTTCAGAGTGGCGCAAGTAAGAATTGGAAAAGAAAATATTTGGCAATCTGCCTTTCCCTGGGGATGAAAGGAGATTATTTTCCCTGCACATAGTCTGATTTGGAGATGGAGGCGGCTTCTGTGGGACAACACAGGTGTCTCAGCACTGGGAGCACCTGGGCCTGCTGAGTTTGTGAAGTGCTGGGGTGGGCTGTGGCATACAGGAGGTCTCTCCTGAGTGCCCACTGTGGTCCTGGACCAGTTACTTCATCTGCTCTGGCAACCTCATGGCCCACTTCAGCCAAATGTAGAGATGCTTCTCTCTGTCAAAGGTGAGGATGAAATTCATCAATAAGTATTCAGCACATATGCAATCTTTTTCACTCTAGCTCACAGCTATCCTGAGGGCAGAGCACTGTGCTGTCCCATGGGTTTGTGACTCCTGATAGCATATTGCTTGCCAGATGATTTGAATTCTTACCTCCCTTGAAGCAGCTTTTCCAAAGGCTGGCTGTTCTCCCAGGGAAAAAATCCAGGTGCTTGTGAACCAGTCTGGGCATTTGCAGTGTAAGAGATGCTGCTTGCACAATTTACATGCTCCTCTCTTGGTTAAATGACTTCAAGGCCATTAAGCCTAGTTATGGTTATATAATTAAGATGGAAATTAATATTTAATCTGATTGTAATTTGTTGCTGGAATCCATCCCAAACTGTATTTCTGCATGAGGTGAGTGGGTATCTGAGGGAAAATTGAGATCAGTGTTACATACGAAGTATTTTTTGCATGAATACTGGGAATTACAGGTCTGCCTCGGGTGACAGAGAAACCCTAACCTTTACAAACTCCGAGTGATCATAGTCATTTTGTTATCAGTAGGAAGCAAATGTTTGTTTTATAGTCAGCTGTAATACTAGAGGGGATATGGTAAATCCGTGTTATCAGTACTTCCCAAGTGTGTGTTGGGCCAAAATCAACTCTGGTGCAATTTCGTTACTTTCTGGAGAAGAACTGGATCCACTTGCCTACAGTATTTTTAGCTGGTCTTTGAAGGTGAAGAGGTATAATTATCCCATTCCATGTCTGTCCATCTCCCTTTTCTTTTTCCCAATTATTCCTGGACATGCTAATCAGTCATAACTAGTTTGGACAAAGAAAATTCAGAGTTTTTGAAAATAAGTGACCAAGTAGAGGAGGGAAATGCATTTCTGCATGGACTGAAGGACAGGGACCTGGAAAACCCTCTTGTGGAGGAACCTGAGTACTTTGATGGCAGGAGGAGCTTTGAGCAGATAGTGAACCTCTTTTGGGTAGGATGAGACACAGAACTGCAAGAAATCACAATCTCAAGTCCTTGTACTCACTTGTTTATTTTTGAAGTCTTTTCTGCTGTAAAACATATCTTATGGTTACATCAGCATTCATATTACGGGGCTTGGTGTCTGTTTTGCTTTCCTCCCTTTTTTTGGGAAAGCACTTCCAAACACAGGGTTTGGAGCTGCTGTGGCTTTGTGTTAGTCACTTGCTGTCTTTGCCTCAGTTTCCCCACTTGTTTCCACTGAGCAGAAGATGCTGTTACACACTGTGAACATGAAGAACACCATAACTCTTAAGTACCCTTCTTGCATTTATTAAAATCCCTTGAGTAAGTGGCCTCCAAATGCTGCTTGTGCTTTTCTGACTTAACAGCTTGTTGGTGAGAGGATCCACAGTTGCTAAAACTGAATCTGCCACCTTCATACAAAGCAGCATTAAGCTGTGTTTTCACAAGCCCTTCTAGTACTGCCAAACCTTCCACCAGACTTGGGGGGAAGTCTGAAGAGCTTCTAGTTTGTCTATCACTAGTATGCTGAAGTCATCCTTGAAACACCATTGAATTTCCTAATTCTGAAGAGTAATGAAAGCTTCAGGGAAGAGGAAGAGCTAGTCAGTGTTTCCTTGCAAGAAGGTAAAAATCTGCTGGAGTTGCAGCTGCTGAGAAGGAAAATTCCATGGGAGAGCCAAACCAAGTGTCTGAGTCTATCTGACACTGTCCTGTTTGCAGGTGTCAGGACATCTTGTGTGTAGGTCATGGAGCTTCTCCCTTGGACATGTTTTTGTTCATGTCACTGATGCCCATTGGTGTCTCTGAGTCAGATCCTCTCTGGTCCTAATCCAGGTGATCCTGCTGTTGTGATATGGGCTTGTTTTATCTGAGAAGTCCAGCAGCTGCCGTGCCTTATCTCCGTGGGTA